TTAGCTAATTTTTGTAGAAATATATATTTTCGTAGAATTTTTACATTTACTAATCTTCCTTTAAATGATGCTTTATCAAAAGAAGGCAGTATAGATACATAATTTAAATGATCCTAAAATTAGGAAATATTAATTAATTATTTCAATTTTATCGAATATCTTAGACCGTTTAAAGAATTGTCGATGTGTTTTGGACTAATTGTTAAAATCGTTTAAAATTGTACACTTTATCAACAATTGAAGAAGTGTGAATGTTTCCCAATTTGCTTGTAACATTTCTTAAACAAAATAAAACGAGAAATGAACTGTAAGATACATCGAGTAGCAAAGAATGTAAGAAAAAAAATATCTCTAACGCTAAGGTGAGATTTCGTCTCAAAAAATAGAAAGAATGATTACCGATTTATAATAAAAAAAAAGAAAAAGAATCTTTTCAATCATATGTGAATTTAAAATACAATGCCAGTGATAATTTGTCTCTGCTTGTGAATAAATGTACGTTAACATTGAATTCTATACTGTCACCATCATTTCAGTTTGATATTGAAAACGTAATATTTTTTCATTCTTTAGACTTTGTTCTCTCGGAACATACAAATATAGACATAAATGAAACAAAAATTGAGAAATAAACCTGATGAGAATAATCGATTTAAATATCACTAGAAATATTGAGTAAGATTCCTGAATTGTTAGCATTGAAATATATTTGTATAATTGCAATGCAAACGCTTCTTTAGGAAACAATGATATAATACAAATTTCAATAGAACAAAATGAAATATTTTTGTTAAATCAAAAATGTTAAATGTTAAATATATATATATATTTAATAATTAACTGTTAATGTTAATTAAAATGTTAAATGTTAAATATATATATTTAATAATTATTATTAAATATATATATATAATAATAATAATTAATAATTATATTTAATAATTTAATTAATATAGTTAAATATATATATATTATTTAATAATTAAATATTTAATAAATAAACATTTAGCATATATATATATATATATATATATATATATATATATATGTATATTTAATGCTAAATATTTATTTTAATGCACAAATTGATTCGTTTTAAAATATAAAATATTCGCTTTAATTCATGTATTATTTTAAATAATTTCCTATTAAATTGTATCCAAATAAAAATATTAAACATTAATTTTCATGATAAATTAGAAACAAACTTCAAGGCCAACCTAATACTAGTAATCGGATCGATACCGATACTAATGATGACATTTCATCATTCAATATCAAAGAGTATAATTCAATACTCAATGGGAAATATTGATACATATTGAAATTTTAGGTACTTGGTATCAATTTTCGATACTGATATTTCTTGAATCGATATCAAATCTAAAGTATTTATATCGAATCAATATCCGTTTGAAAATTCATGAATGTATCGATATCCATTTGATATCTTTGCCGGTGTATTGATAAACAAACGAAAAGTGATTCTGTAGAATAACAAATAAAATTTTAAGAGGCAGAAAAGAAAAAAAAGACAAAAAATTGCTCGCATTTAAATTTTCATAAAAATATCAAATGGGTATTGATATTTTTCATATCTTAATGTTATTCGACTTAAATGCTATTCGATACGGCATCACAATTTACGATAAAAATAAAAAGGAAGCAGTCTGGATAGCTATTTGTTGAAATTTTTCAAATAATTTTGATAAAAGAAATTTTTGGAAGGTCACTAAAAGTTGAAAAAGCGTACCTTGCATGCAATGACAAAGGTACATCAAAATATATTTTGAATGTAGCAATGCACAAGAGCATGCGACACTGCATACGGCACTCTGTCGAAGCAATTGCCTGTGTTTATTATTTGTATTGTGGAATACACGAATTTCATGTTTATGCGTCACTTTTGATATTTAACTTTTGATATTCAACTTCTAATATAAGAAATTAAAAAACATCGCAAAATTTTTAGATAATTTTAATGAAAATGTCTAAATTTTCTGAATACATTTCCGTAGATATTTATTTCATATATTTCAGATATTTATCACATATTTATTTCTGTAGATCACGTTAATAATCAAAAAACGGTACATGAACGTGTAGCATGAAAAATAACAAACAAATTAAACTCATCGCATAAAAGAATCTCAAGAAATTAAATAACAGATGAATTAGTCAAGCAAGCCATTGAAATAATACCTAACGAACACATTTGGATATCTAGAGTCTTTATAAAGAGATACAAGTTTAACATAAGGAAATGGACTAAAAAGTTAATCATAATCCAAGATCTAACTAAAGTTAAAGTTTACTTATAAAAATTTCGTGAACCAGGAAGCAAATCCTAGTTTTTTTTTCGAAAAAATATGTCCAAAGAAATTATTTTTTGGGTAAACAAAACGAGGATTAATCATTATAATTTGACTACTTCGCTGGTCAGGATCAACATAGCAACCATTGCATCCTGTGAATACGATGAAAAACAAAATGATCATGGAAATGTCCTGTATACAGCAATAGACGAAACATAACGATAAATAAACTGCGCAAATAGAAATGAAAATATCGAACGTCATAATATCGATAAGTTTCTAATGTGAGTAAATATAATAGCAATAAGAATTATCAATAATTTCTTTATTAATTAAATTATTTAAGAATCTAACTAGATTGAACTGTAGTTCCTATAATTTATCATCGCATCCTTTATTGTTATTGTTGACAGTTATATTACAATGTTACGTGCAATATTATCGTCCAAAGTATTTGAACTATATACATAAATAAGTTAGGTTAAATAAATTACGGTTAATTATTTTTCTAAGATTAATGTAATCAAAGTTACTAAACGAACAGTATTTTTTATGATAGTTTTATGTTTTATAATGTTTTATAAAATCAAAGAGTGTAAAATCTATGGGCCTTAAAATTGATTTATTTTTAAGTTAAAAAAACAAAAGGATATGTGAATGCAACGTAGGTCTGTACTGTTTGCGGTAAGATACCGTGTACGCAACGACAACGGTACAATACTTATACCTGTCAGAACGATTACGCTTTACCCCTCCCAAGGGGTAAAGAAATCCGAAGGGACTGGTCCCGCCTACAGATATCTGGTTGATTTGGGCTCACCGTTCTAAGGAAAATGGAGTAGTGAAAGAGAGAAAGAGAAGAGGAAACGAGAGACGAGATTGTTTGGTCGTGACACTCTCCACGATTGCTCACGATTTATTGATAACGATTCATGGTAATCTTTGGACATGCACGACTCACAATTCGTCCATTTATCCGCTAATAATCCTCTCGAAAAAAATCAATATGGCGTCTAACCACCATATAATTATAAATTTTTCTAGACTTAGCCGTTGCGATAACCAGTCATAGTATATTTCAGGTAACATCCTTAAACCAATCAGGGTACAGTTCAGCCGCATCATTAAAATCCTTTTAACAATCTAGAAGTAAAAATAAAGAAAGAGGGTGTAGGAGAAAAGTGAGAAAGAAAAAGGAAAGAGATAGGAAAGAGATAAGAGAAAAGAAAAAAGAGATTGTGTAAGATCTAATAGCAATACATACATGATAATAAATCCTTAGAAATTTACAAATTTATAATATAATTTATAATATTTTACGATAATAAATGAATATGAACTTTTCTCTGATCTCAAAAGGTCAAAAAGGGGAGAATCAAAAGAGGGGATGGCAATGGATATCCTCAATTTTCCGTCCCATCGAATAAGGATGGTAAATATGGTTTTATGTCGTAGAGCATATTTGGATCTGCTATTGATGACGATAATTAATATGCAGGGTGTAGCAAAAACTTTGTACACTCGAAATATTTCCATTATTTGTAAAAATATCACACAACGATAAACAAAAAATCTCACTTACAAAAAAAATGATTTTGAAATCTCCTCTATATTTCTATCTCCTCTATATCTCAAAAATTGAAATATCTCATGAGGAACTGAACATATATTAATTAAAATAATTAATTAATATAATATAAAATAAATTTTCAAACAGAGGAAAGTTTTTAATTTTCTTTATCATCGAACTATTAAACTTTTTTCAAACTCTTACTCTTTCTTTTTCTTTCTTCATTAATAGATTGGGTACTAAACCGATTTTGTAGGTAAAAAATAAAAGAAGGATTTATTGTCATACTTTTAATGTTAGATTTCTATTAAAAGGTATATTTTGGTAGCGTTTTTAAAATTATAATAAGAATAGAACTTTAACAAAGTTAAATAAAAAGTAGATTTTAAGTAGCTCAATAATATCGTTTGAACTCGATTTGCGTTAAGTACAAGCATTTTTATAATAATAAAAAAGCTTTCAAAATATAATAATAAATAATATTAAATATATTTATGGCAAACAATGTGTATATAAAAAAAAAATAGATTAATATTGGAAGTATAATTTTTAATTTAATTTTTTAGATTTATAATAAAATACAAGAAAACAAAAAGAAATAATTTTACTATTCGTTTTCGTCACTCAAGTTAGATTTAAATTCTACGATACTGAAAAGCAAGGTGTAATTGCTCTTACCCATTGCTTTTACATAATCAAGATATGGTGATATGGAAGTGTAATATCATTATAGAAGATTAAAAAAAAAAACTTCAGAATTTCTTTTCAGAATTCACTTTTCTCCCTTCAACTTATTTTCTTTTGAGTTTCAAATTGGAGCATCTCGACTTCTTTACATAGACAAAATTTAAAACAATAATAAATATTATTCTGAATAATTTATTTATTCATTAAAAAAAAAACAAATTATTAAAATTTTAAATATAAAATTATTGATTGTAATATAATTAGAATGTTATCATTTGTTAAATCAACTTAGTTGTGATTGATTTGCAATAAGAAAAAATGTAAAGATCATAGTACTAGTAATACAAATAACATGATATAATAATGATAATACAAACGAATCTTTATGTAAAATTATATGAAGTAGAATTTTATAAATCTTTAATGTCTTCATCAATTTATCAATTATTTCCTTTATATTAATTACTTAACGGCGTAATGTTTACAACTTTTACTTTGTGATTTAGTTTCAATTTCAATTCTAATAAAACATCCAATTGTTCAAATTTTTCTGCATTATGGCAAATCTAAAATATCACTAAAATATACATAGAAAAAATACATAACAGCATATGTGTAATAAATAATACAATTATGTATGAGTGATAAAATATTATGATTAACGTATCTTAAAATATTACCATTCTTAATTTATGTTCTATATCACCATTAGTTTCTGCATGTTTCCTTTTTTTGGGAAAATTCCTTAACGTTAAATCCAAAAAATCTTTCTATAATCTAACAAAAAGTAGAAACATATTAATAAATATATTTAAACTTTCTTCTAAAATATATAATACTGCTATTTTATCAGAGATTGTTACTTTTAATTGCTAATAAGAATTTTTTCTAAATAATTTTTCAAATGTAGTAAATTATTCTTGTACTATTAAAACGTTTTAAATTATTTCTTTTACCATTTTTTCAATTACATGACAAATAAAGTTAAAATTTTCACTGCTATTTATTCTTGTAACTTTTTTGCTTCTATAAAGTCAGAAATTCTTTTTACATTATTTTCTTAATTTTATGTTTCTTGGATCATACTTTCTTTGAAATACAACGTATTTTTGATGAATTAATAAATGATGGTTACATTAATGCCTAAAATACAAATATTATATTTTATAGACAATTCTGTCTATGTTATTATATATTAATATTTGCTGAAAATATTAAATCGTACTATAGATCTTTTATCTCCAATTTTTTTTTAACGATTAACTTGTGCATTAGATAATGTTTCATTTATATTAATGCTATATGTTTTAAGTTTAATATTTCGAAGAAATTTTTGCCTTTTATGGAATTAATGTTTCGCAAGAATGAGTTACTTAGTTGAAAATTTCATTTCATATAAAATTTTTTATTATTTTTTACTGAATCTTCTTTTCTAAAGCTTCTGGAACATCAACATCATCAAATTTAAAATCATCCATTGAAAAAACATGTCACTTTGTATTTTAATATTCTCTTTTCAACTGCTAACAGAGCTTTCACTACTATTATATCATCTCTCATATTCTGATCATTATCTTCTTTAAATAATACTCGAAATTCTTTTTTTTTGTTATTGATAATTGTACATGAGATAAACGCGATAAATTGATTTTCATTTATTATTTCTAACAACTTATTACCTGTATCGAAAGTTTCAGTAATATTATTCTTTTTATGTTTGTCATTCTGTTTTGATGGATCTTTTGGATAAATAAAATTTTGTTATTTAATATTTTTTGTACTAGACAAGTTATTCTAGTTAGTCTATTTATTCTAATCTATTTAGTATATTTATAGCATATATTATTTATCTCTTGATTTCATTGCTCAATTTGTGTAATTTCTTCCAAATTGATTTCAAAATCATCTTCAAAGAAATCATTTGTAGCAAGTGGTCTTTCATTATCTTCTAACCTTTATTGTATAGAAGTCTGTATTTTCTGAACAGTTTCTGGAATATTCAAATACTTAAAAATATTATAAACATAAATAATATATTCTCATTGATTATTTTAAAAACTTACAAAGTTCAAGTTAGAACATTTTCTAATGCATTGATGACGGATAAATTTTTTATTTCTCCGTCAATTTCTCTAAATTTACTTTCTTTTAATAAAATAATACCTCATCTGTATATCATAAGTCCAGTAATCATTACTTTATATCCAGGTAGTCCTATCAAATAATAATATTATTAATCCTTTTATAAATTAATGTAATTATTTAAAACTAAAATAAATTATTTAAAACTATAATATATCTCTGTAATAAAATCATACTTACAAAAGTATATTAAGAGTAAAATGATTCTAACAGTGCTAATATCTTACCATTTGTTAAATGTAATAGAAGTATCCATCTTGTTTTTGGCACTTATAATTGGTTTTATATTTTTTTACTTTAATATTTGGAATAATATTTCCAATTCCTTATATTTTGAAGTTGATATGTAATACATTTTTTTCCATCTATATTAATGTTAGAAAATAAAATACTATTAAAATAAGATATTATATATAAAATATGATATACAAATAAGATATTATATATAAAAATGCAAGTAAAAAATATATATGTATATATTGCATATATAAAATTTTGTATAAGTATACCTGGAGGATATAAGTTCCATGTAATACTGTACATATTTGTTAATTAAGATCTCTTGGTAAATATTCATTGTCATTATTTATCTCACGTAAATCATTTAATTACAATTGCGTTTTTACAAATTTTATTTTAGTATACACTATACAAAGTAAAACATAACCATAAAATGAAGTATCAATTTATATGGTAATTATAATGTTAACAAATTTCTACTGCTACAAGTAATTATTTTTACTTCAGTTGTATGAATAAATAGATCAACAGTCTTTAAATATCACATTTATGTTAACAAAAATGTTTTAAGCATTATATTATCATAACTTACAGTGTCATTTTTTGAAATACAGTGTCATTTTATAGAATCTCTTAATCAAATTTCACTCATAAAATTCACTCACTGATATTAAAGTGTTTTTGATTCGTTGTATAAGATCTTCATTCATTTTTATTATTTTATCAATAAAACTTGTTAATACATTTGTAGTTACCGAATACATCGTTGTTTATATTTAAATGTACATGTCTATATACATTCAAGTGTACATTTTTATATGTAACAATATGGTTTAAAATAAATAATCTAGAAATTGATTTATTAATAAATAAATTTGTAAATAATAGAAATTAGCATAATTGAATAATTATATCATAATAATTATAATAAATGGACAATATACAACTCTTTTGAATTTCGTATAAAATTAAAAATGGCATCTAATATGTCAGATAAATATGTGATGTACTTCGTGAAAACAATGAAAAATGTTTTTTCTCTTTTCTTTAATCTTTAAAATTTCTGCACGATATATTTTAAAAAGCGAAGTATTTTCTTAATTTCAAAGTATGTATATGTATATATATCTTGAATTTAAACTTATAACATCATATAACCTAACAAATAGTAACAAAATTTAACATTACTTTTACCAATTTTTTATGCATATAATGTGTAATATTCTAATTTTTTAATTTAAATTAGAGATGTTCTATTTACATAAATTCTTTCCCTGCAACAAAAGGGAAAATGTGCACGAAGTTGAGTATATACAATCAGTGATTGAATATTCAAACAAATGTGTAAATCATCGACTGAAAATGGAATTAACTTATATGAATTATGGTAAATAAAATTAAATATATTATTAATGTTTATTTCTCATATGAAATATGTTAATCATATATTTACCAATTCAAGGAAGAAAATAATGAAACAAGTAGATAATTTAGCCTGGATTTATTGTCACAACTTTTGTACAAAACAGCAAAAATACTCTTATATTAGACCATCAGATAACAAAGTAAGTTATATATTTTATTGATTATATGAGCAAATTGTATATATTTTGAAAAAATTATTATTTCTTTTAATTAATGATTAATTAATATTTATTTGTTTTAGCTCAAGTTCTTCAAATAGACAAGAAAATACTATATTACAAAAGGAATAATATCTAATAGTTGAGTTCTTTAATACTTATAACAATATATTAAAAGTTTATAAGGGAGATACAATTAAAAAGAAATTTATATTTTATAGATATGAAGTTGATACTATTTCAAAAGACTTTGGATTATGTAATATAATTTTTGTAATTTAAGATTTTAGTGATATTCAATAAGATAATATTTTGCCTGTTTTACACAATGAATTTAACGTAAACACTAAGATGGAAGCAATGGTAAATATTAATTAATATTTATAATTGTTAAATTTTAATTGTAGGTAATGATTACACAAACAATATCAAGTTTTATATTTGTTTGTCCACATTCTTTATATATAACTCCTTTTATTTTGTGTGTGTGTGTGTGTGTAAAATATGGAATTTGGACTTCGCTGCTCTAACTCCTGAACAATTGAATTTTCTTCTTTTAAATGATGAAGATATTTTATTGTTAGTATTATTTTTTTTCTTTTCCGATAATTCTTAACTTTCCTATAAATATTAAATTTATCCAAATTGTGTATTATACATTTTTCATTGAAATATTATACATTTTTATTTTTCTATTCAAAATATTTTTATGCTTATATTGTTATGCTAAATATTGTTATATTTATGTTTTATTTGTTCTATAGAGAAATATTCGGAAAAATACATATCACCGATTTCAATTTGGATGGAGAATTAAATGATATCTTTCGCCAATAAAAAAATTTTAACAGGTTTAGAAGGATCTAATACCACAATGTATAAAATTGAGACAAAAATATCAGTATTTTTTGAGCATGGTAATATACCGATAGGGGATGAAAAGAGCATCATATTTTTGGTAGAAGTCAATCAAAGTTTTAACTAATTATAATTGTTCAATTTATTAATGTAATACTTATTTTTTCGATGAAGAATATAGAACAGCATATATGAAGTCAATATTACCAGATATAATCATAGAATTTATAAGAATTAATTTATAAGAATTGTGCCAGAAAAAATATAACTACCAAAAATTGTAGAAGAATCTTTTATTTGTAAAAGAAATTATGGAAGAAACTTATATCAGTTGCTAAGTAATATATTGATATTTGCATAAAAAATATTTTTGTTTATAATAATTAACTTTAATTTATGTTAATAATTTATATTTTATATTTCTATATTTTATCTCAATTGTCAAATGATTCATGTATCATACATTATCAATATATTAACATAAATTATCGTTTTTATTAATATAAATTATGGTTTTTATTTATATATTTTATTAATATAAGATCGAATTTGTTAATTATGATCAACAGAATATCTTTGAAAAATATTTAATATCAAATAATAGTATTAAAATGTACACCAAGGAACCGAGAAATTACAATGGCTATATGAATTTTTATCAGAACAATATCTCATTCTTATTAAATGAACATACAGAACTATAGATAACATTATGCAATATATTATTTCTGATGAATTAAATAATGATATATTCCCTAAGTACTTTTCGAATGATGTTAAAAAATGTTGTGATGTTAAAATTGTAAAAATATTAAATAAGAAAATTATAAATGTACATATATATTAATGATTATTATATTTTTGTATAAAATAAAATAAAATAAAATAAAATAAAATAAAATAAAATAGATTAATTTTTCTAACGTATGATCCCAATATCTAAAAAAAAAAATATTGACATTCAAACATTATAATTATTGAAAAAAGAAATGTCATTTTATTCATTAATAGATAAAATTTTAGATCTAATCAATTTTTCTAATCAAAGATTAGTTAACATTCAACATCCTTTTTTTATTTCTTTATATCTTTTTATTCTTAATTTCTCTGAGGATTAATTTATTTATTTATTGAATATATTGCATAAGAATAAAATAAAAGAGTTTTTTGTTTGTTTTTCTTTTTTTTTATTCGATAAAGTATGGTATGCATATATCTTGTATGTATATCATTTTATAGCTAAATGATTAAATAAGTAGTTAATTATAAAACACAAAAAATAAAGTCATTTTCTTTAATTTAGCTCATAAAATCATTCTCTTTATTTAGCTCATAAAATCATACAAGTTAGTTGTAACAGTATATTAGAATTTTAATCTATGTGGATATTGACTGCTTCGCAAACCAAACATAGCTGACAGATAGGTGAATAATAGTTTCTTGTCTGGATTTGTTTTAATTTTTTCTATTATAAATTTGTCTAAAGTTTTCTGATCCAATTTTCTTTGATTGCTTGGTTTGTACTCATCCATCTTTTTACTGAAAATATCGCCCTCCTCCTTTTTTAATCGTTTTTCACGTTTTCTTTTGAAATATTCATCATTTATGTGTTCTGGCAATTTGAGTCCAGAAAGATCAATGCGTGTAGAAGTTGCTATGACATAATTCTGATTTATTCTACGCAGTGGACAACCATTGATCAGAAATGGACCTAAGACAAAGGTTTATATTTATTAAATCTTGCAGGAATAATAAAATTGATAGATAATATTAATCGACGAGTAATTACATTTCTTTTTATTCCTATATATGTGTGTGTGTGTATATGTGTGTGTAAACACATATTTATATATACTAAATATGATTTTGATTTCAAATGATCACTACTGTATAAGTATAAAAAAGAATATTATTTAAAGTAACTATGTTGATCTTCATAACTCAGGAAGATCACGGATAAAATAATTGTTTGCATGCACAAATTTTTATTTTTATATTTTATTTTTTATATTTTGATATATATCCGAAATTGACTCAGACATTTATGAATCGATACTCTGCATATATAACTACTTATATATGTTTTCATGGATAGAATTAGCAAAAATATATTAAAACCAACCTGTAACTAACAGTAATCCAGTTTTCAGCTGTTTCAAGAAAACAACACGTTTCCCTTTGTGAGACCCAGCTAACAAAATGCAAATAGTTCCTGGAACTAAAGTAGATCTTAAATATCGATGATGTTCACGGAAGCATTTTTTAGCATGCTTCTTTGTAATAGGATCTGCTGTAGGATAATTAGCCCTTCTTTTCTTTAATAGAACAATTCGTTTTTCTCCATTCTTATCACCGCCTATTTCTTTTTCGCTCGTCAATGGTTTTTTAAGTTTTACCTATAAAAAAAATGTTCATACATTTTTTTCAATGTTTTATAAATAGATCTTATTATATTACTTACGATTTTAGGTGTTTTTTTATCTAGAAACTTATAAATGGCTTTTTTGTGGTACATGCGTGAACGGCTAAATCTATAAACACCATTTCCTAGATCATAATTTCTTGGTTTCTTAGATTTCTTCTTGGCTTTCTTTTCGGTTGAAATTGTAACTGCTGGCGCAGTATTTTCAAGTGATTTTATTTTTGTATCCGACATCTGTGAAAACATCGAAAATTTTTATAAGCAGGTTACTATAATCATAGTTTATAAAATCTATTATCAAAGTCTAATCTTAGGTTAAGTTTATCCATATTGGATTATAAAGTTAAATAAATAGCGTAAGATAAAACATAAGATTAACATTCCGGAAAGGTATTTTTACAAAATTGCTTTGGAACAAAAAAATATATTCCAAATTATAAAAAAAAGTTATAAAAGGTAGAATTTTTTCAGTTAATAATTGAAACACTTACGTTAGAATTATAGAACTTCTTGAATAATTTTTGATTCACATATGAGTCACATTCTTAGCATACCTCGAAAAGTTGAGATCCAGCATTACTCCATCTATCGGGCCTTCAATGAATGAAAAATTTAAATATCGATATCTATAATATATCGAGAATTCTTAAATATCTTTGTAAAAAAGAGCGGAAAAAGCATCATACTTGATAGAAAAACATGATTATTTTCAAATTTAGATTTTATATAAAATGTAAATGAACTATAACAATGTATTGTGTACACAATAACAAACTGAATAATAATCAATGTATTTCAGCTGAAGTCAAGAAAATATTTTTACGAATTTCTATACTTTATAAGTTTAATAGTCTTAAACTTCAAATTTAAAAAAAGTTAATATATATATATATATATATATATATATATATATGATTTATATATAATTATGAATTTTTCTGATTGAAGAAATTAAAAAACCGCGAAATTTGGAATGTTACAAGAGAAGATTATCGCGATAAAAATAAAAAAATAGGAGTTTCCTATAAAAAAAATAAGAGATGGCTATACCTTGAAAATTTTCGAATAATTTTAATGAAAAATATTTCAATATATTTTAATTTTCGGTATATTTCGATATAATTTAAATATTTTGAAGATTCATATTCATTCCCGATGACGATGAAGATCGAAAAAACGTTATGTAGGCGCAATGCTCCTTCCTGTACTATTCATTTGCAGTAACGCATCGTGCACTCAAGAATGTAGCATCGCTCCAATGCATTGCTATATTAAAAATATATATCCGCTGCAATGCACGTTCAACGAACAGCAAAACGTCCAGGACATATAGACATGTATCTATACACTGATATCATCAATTTTCAGTGAAAACACAAATGATGTAAATTTTCATTTATATGTATGATAAAGTACTAGTTCATTCTATGTTAAAAAAATTGTTCGATAATGGTATGATGAATTGTTTAAAAGAGATAATATATAAAAAGAAATCCAATGATATGATCAAGAATCAAATAGTTCCTCAATCAGCGTAATATCGTTTCTTATCTTTGTCCTAATTAGTATTATTTAGAGTATTTGTATTCTGGTCATAGAAAAATATATTTTTGCTCGAGAAAGGAAAAGATATCGATGGTACATCATATTCCGTCAATTAAATCGTCAGAATTTTATGTAAAAAGGAAGAAAAGTATAAGTAATAAAAGTATAAATAATATAAGTAATAAATATATAAAAATATTGCAATAGATTATGTGAATCGTAAATTTGCTTGTATAAAGTATTAACGGTAATTGTAATGTTCGTTCTGAATGAACTTTCATATTTAGATTATAATTTTCTAATGGAATAGAAACATGCGTATCTAAGCTTTTGCATAATTTAATATAGTTTTATATTGAAATAGAACTTTTTCCTCATATTATATATGGAGACATATGTATAACATATTTTTTTTATTTATCGAACGCACGTACTTATACATATGTATTTTAACTCTTTTCAACTGTTCTTCGTATAATACGAAATATCTTCGTATTAATACGAAATGATTATAGATTTTTTAAGATGAGCACATTTTTTCGCATAAAGATTAACAAAAATGTATTGCTTATATACATACATTATATTTATATAAGAGGCGTTTAAAAAATAATATCCGTTTTGAAATTACGACAATACAAATGATTCAATTTTTTAAATACTTCACTTTTTGGGTCATATTGGTTCAGGATCAGTGGTATCAATTACAATCACCAGGTGTTGGGAGGGATGTTACATGAGAAGAATCGTGTCGGAATCATTTTTGATCCGGATCGTGCAGAATTTTTTTCAGGAAGATTCGACAAATACATTCTCCTAATTCGCTTCTTTCATACAAAATTTGTTGAATATTTTTCTAATTTACGAACCTTGATTCATCTTAAGATCTCTTTCCTCCACTTGCATTTTCTACGGTAATATTCCTTAACACTCCCATGTCATTGAGAACGTGGAAAATTTTGGCGGTAAAGTATTTAATAGTTTCGACATGATCGCGATCATGTAGTTTTTCATCTTCATCACACAATTTTTTGGAGATCGTTTAAAAATTTTCAATCTACTTTGCAATGGACTCTTTGTCTTTTATGCGAAATTCATAAAATTCCTGTCAGCAATGTTGTTTCGTATTTTCAATTGTTTCACCATACAGTGTACGCAGCTCTCTCTGTATTGTTTTTGGCGTCAGGAATAATTTACAATATTTATATGTAACAATTGTATATGATCATACTAAATAGGATCACGGTGATTCTCGACTATTCTTTTTTCCACTGCATCGATTCTTTTTTAGATGTAGTTTCATCAGACTCAACTATCTTGTCAACTCTTATGCTTCAAAAAAGAATGACACACCATACTTAATCTTGTAAGATTAAACAATTTCTTTAT